CAAAAAAATTGATCTTGTTGAGTTTTAAAATCCAGATGAATGCTTGTGTGATATTCGCTAAACAGGGACCATTTAATAGCATATAAAAGAGTTTGCAAGAAGATCCGCAAAAGTATCGAATTGGCCAGATCATTGTTTGTTGGGGTATTAATTCTTTTAAATCTAACTTTCTCAAAAATTTAATAAAAAAAACTTTCTCAAAAATCTTATCATAAAATCCCTAATTTTAAACTTGTCGATCGTCGTAGCAACCATTGAACGGAGTAAGAAGGGTCGCCATCTTTGTCGCTCTTCCTAAAATCTACCTGAAGCAAGCTAAACAATTGTTTGTGATTTGAGTTAAGGATTTAGGAGTTTGAGACGATGACAAGGGCAGTTGTTGATCATTGAATGGTCGATAATGGGTGGATGGACATTTAGTAGTAGCAACAATGGTCGAAGATGATCGATGATTAGAGACTTAAGAATTTGAAATTTTCTTTTGAATTTTTAGATAAATTTTAAATTTTTTAAAAATTAACTTTAAGTCTTTTTAGATAAAATACTCAAATTTTTATAAATGTATTATGTGCAATATTTTATGTGGTTGACAATTTTTTAATGATTACAACAAACGAAACACATAAAATAGTAATGTTAAAAACGTTAAATACCTACTTTGTTGCTCGAATTCAAATCTCTTAATGTTGATATCAGATCTAAGATCATGATGACTATATGTAGGTTGGTAGGATAACTGGGTGCGATTGTCCAACAATAAATTTAACTCTATCAAATCACGTAAGTCTATAAAAAATTATGTCAGAACTTTGATTAATTGAAGCATATAAATTTTTAGGACTTTAATGAGTAAAAAATTTCTTTGAAAACCTCAATGGACAATGACAACAGTAAAATGACTTACAAAAAATTAAGAAGAAATACGACAATTTTTTATATTAGTTCAAGGTACCCTAATAAACTTAGATTATTTTTTGTTGAAAATTAAGTTTTGCTAATACCTTAAGTAGAGACGAACGTAAGATTTTATGTTAGAGGGTGAATTTATAAACTTTTAGGAGATAGTAAACTTATAAAATTATAGGGGAACAAAAACAAATTATCAATAAAAAAATATATACAAAAATCTAGATCAATCTTTGATTTTAAGATGTAATTGATGTTTCGTCCTTTATGGAAGTCGCAGTTACAACCACATATACGTTGATGTTTTTAAGAAAGAAACAAAAAGGGGTATTCGTCGAAGAATAACGGATAGCGGATAGCGTGGTGGGTGTAAAGGCACCGTCCCCCGCCGTGGTCCTCCATTATACCAAAAGCAAAGCATCAAAATGGCAAAAGAAAAAGCCCTACACAACCGCTCTAAATCCCAGATTCCCATGCTTGTTTTTCTCATCAAATTTACTTCAAAAGTAACATATGACTTGTTGATTCAGTTATGCTTACAACAATCACGGTTATCGATTGTGATAATAATTAAAAGTTTAATGATTGTAATATAAATTTTATAAGTTTAGGGGACTACCATTGTAGTTTACCCTTGTTTTTGCCCTAAAGTAAAAGGTTATAATATTGTCGTTGTTTAGTAGTTACAGATAAAATATTGTTTCGTCTTCTTCATCCTTATGTTGTTTCCCTGCAAGCTTTTGGTCACTGTCCCCTTCCCATAATCCCTTATGGAGGAAGTCTGGTAATATATTAGCTTACCTCCTCTAAATGATCACTCACCGGCGGCCACTACCATCTCAACTACCTTAAACAACAATAACTCCACTTTTCACAGCACCGTCCTTCAACACTTTTTCGCTACCCTAAACCTATTTAACTTAAAAAAATTACACTCTTGATGATATTTTCGATTATATTATATTTTTATCAATTTTTAATCTTATATTAACCTATTGTATTTTTTTTTGAACTCCTTTATGTAGAATCCTTTGTGTATATGTATTCCCCTTTATCCAGCAGTTGACTTGATCGTAAAATTTCTCTTAGTGGAAAAGACATATTCTTTAAATGGGCTAAAGTTGGCCACCAAATCCAACAAATTTTGGTTGTGAAACTCCCAAAAGGAAGAGGACTATTTTGGATCCTATGCAGTACTGAATGCTAAATATCCATATTATAATCTTTATTTTTTTAATTTTAAAAATTTATGCTGATCCATCAATACTTGTGAAACATATTAACCCAATTATGCTGTTAATCCACGTATAATATATAAAATATATAACCAACAACCAGTTTGTCTAGTGAGATAAGACATTAGATCCCTTAAGCAAGATCAAGAGTTCAAATCCTAGTGTTCCCAAATGGAGCAAACTGGGGTGGAAGGGTCGCCCTCGCCTCTGTAATATCCGATCTGAATTAGTCGGTCAATAGATCAGATACCAATGATTAATTTAAATATATATATATAATGTATATTTAGTTTATATTGTCAAATTTAATCTCTTTAATTTAATTATATTATTCATATAATTTTTAAGAATAATATATTTTTTAAAAATATTAGATAAAATTGATTCAGTTAGAATGTAAATTGATTCAGTTAGAATGTAAAAGATTAAATCCCTAATTTATATAGAGTACAATAATTAATGATAGAATTTAACCTATTACTTGAAATGATTATTGTGTTCACTTAAATATATTTGATTTTATTTAATGTTTTATTTGCAAATACGAAACATATATTTATTCAAACTAAATTGAATTTTATATTTATTTAATTTATAATTCTTTATAATACAAAAATAAATATTTATATTTAAATTAGAAAAAATAATTTATAAATACTCAATCATTATTATATATTTTTTATTTTCATGTTAATATTATTTACCTTTAACTATGATTACTAATTTATATTTGTATCTATCATTTGTTTTAATTGTTTGATTGAATTTTAACCTTTTTTTAGTATGGTATTATTTTAATTTTATTTGATTAGTTTGCGCACTTTGATGATTTTATTAGACATGTCCAACTAATATGATTAGTTTACTTTCGCTTTTATAGACTGTGTTTTTAGAATATTTATTTTTTATACACCAAACTAAACTATTATTATTAGTTTCAAAAATATTAAAATAATTGTTGCTGTACATAAAGCATTTACTAATCCTCTTTATATGTGTTATACAAATTTTTTATATAACTATTTGTGTATAGTATATTAGAAAAATAATTTAGAATGAGTATGGTTGAGATATATTACGAGAACGTCATTTTTTAAATTTAGTTTATTTTTTTCATAATTTTAAAATTCAAATTTTATATATTTTTTAAAAATATTTCATATCTCATCTCATTAATTCAATTTTTGTAATTGGAGGATTCATAAACTTATTTCTGACGAGATATTTTTAAAATTACTTTTTTGTCTTATATAATTTCCACTTTTGATCTCTTATTTTTATATATATTTTTTTAAATTAAATTAACTAAAAGAGTTTACAATTTTTTTAAATTGACAAGGGTTATCTTATCATCGTTGTAAATTATTTTTTTAATCAATTTACAAAGAAATAAAACAATGTTTTAAAATAAGTAAAAAATACCAACAATAAGTTAGTCTAGTGGGATGAAGCACTAAGACCCTTAAACAATGTTAAATGTGCGTTTGGATAACGGAATGTAAGATTACCAGTGGAAATAAAAGATTGCCAGATAATAGGATTACTGATAATGTTGTATTTTTGTGTTAGGTTGGTTTAGCATAAATGTAAAATTACCTTGTTTGGTTAAAAGAATAAAAAATTATTGGAATGTATATTTAACCAAATTGTCCTTATTATATATTTGTTTTTTAATAAGTTGAAAATTATTTATATATATATTTTTTTAAAAATTTAAATTCATAAAATTTATATATATATATTTTACAAAATTGAAAATATAAAAATATTTAATAAAAGGGTAAAATTTTATTTTAACCCCTGAACTTCATATAAAATTTTAATTATAGATTTTTTTATAAATCTAAAATAATTTAAAGATAAATTTGTAATTTAACTTTCATAGAATTTTTATTATTCAATGACAGAAAAAGAATATTTTTGGAAAAAATTTAAGGGCATTTTAGTCCAAAACGCCGGTAATCTAACAATACCTAAGGGAAAGGGGTAATGACATTCCCGGTAATATACCCAAAAAATCCACTTTTGGTAATAAAACATTATCGGGAATGAGATTCTCGACCAACCAAACGGGAAAATATAGATTCCATTTTCATGAGAATCCCATATTCCCCGAACCAAACAGCCCCTAAGAGTTTAAATTATTGCGTTTGTGAATGGAGCAAACTGAATTGGAAGGATCACCCTCGCCTCTACAGTACCCGATTTGAATTAGTTAGTACCAATGATTAATTAAAAAAATAAATAAATAATATTTAAACATTATAAAATACTGAAACTGTAAAAAATATATATATTATAACAAAGAAAATAATCTCCCATCCCTTCTCCTCATTGCTCATAGCCAACATATCCACCCCCACACGTAGATTTTGGTTCAAATTTCCCAAACAAAGAACTAATAAAATATATTTAACCGAGCAAGGTTTTTTTTTCCTGGGATGAATTTCTTTAAACTTTCCCAGATTTATTTTTATTCTTTCCACAGCTTGTGTCATTTCAATGGATAATACATTGGATAAAAAAAAAGGGAAATGGTGACGGTGGGAAAGTTCCACAACTATTTCGAGGGATTGGCTATCAAATCTTTCTTTTGCCAGTTGAACAAAAACAGTACGCTGTTTAAACCTAGAGAGAGAGCTGTCATTTCCCGTAAATCAAAATCAATCTCATTAAACAAATCTAAGCTTTTTTTTTCTTCATTTTGGGATAGAAACCCAAATCAGGGAAAGAGTAACCAAAATAGGTAAAAAAGTCACCAAACCAATACAGTATAAACTAGAAACGATAACACGTGGTCAGTTCAAGTATGGACAACTCTCCTTCGTTAAACCAAAAAAACCTTAATGCTCCCTTCCTTTACAGATTTACAGATGGGACAAGAAACAAGCAATGGTTCGCATGATTTGCAGGAGCAAAGGTGCCTGCAAGGTAAAAAAAGAACGCATGAGCTCCTAGAGTTGCAGTGTTTACAAGCCATCTTATCGTCACTTCCTTCTTGTTGATCTTTGTTGCAGGACTCTTGGTCTTCAGCTGAACTTCTGTCTTTAGCTTGTTCCAGTCTTTTGCTAAGATCCATAGCCATTTGTTGACGAAAACGGGTAAAGAAAACGAAAGAACACGAGAATTTTACGAGGTTCGGCAATGTGCTTACGTCCTCGGTGCCTAGGCGGCGCTAGAAGTTTTATTCAATGATATTTTAGGTCTAGGTTACATCTCTATTTATAATAGAAAACCCTGGTACATAATTACAAAATCAACCCTGTACCGTACCGCGGGGGCTGCGCCCCCACACCCCCAACCCACATAATTCGTAACCCCACAACGAGACTTTTTATGAGCCATACATAACAAATCTCCACCTTGGCGAATATCCTGCCCCTTGGAAACTTCAATGTGGGTTGGGTTACCTTGCTTCTTTAACAACTCGAAACATTCAACAAGTCCAAGCAATGCTTGAACTTGTCTGTCGTAACTGGCTTGGTGAACATATCAGCGGCATTCTCATCAGTATGTACCTTCTGAAACAAAACCTCTCCAGATGCAACCAACTCTCTGATCTTGTGGAACCTTACATCAATATGTTTAGTTCTAGCACGATACACCTGATTCTTAGCCAAGTGAATAGCACTTTGATTATCACAAAGCAACTGAACTCTACCTTGTTGAACACCCAACTCCTTCACTAAACCAGTAAGCCATAAAGCTTCTTTTGCAGCTTCAGCCGCTGCCATGTATTCAGCTTCAGTTGTAGATAGTGCCACGACAGATTGAACAGTAGACTTCCAGCAAATAGGCCCTCCACCAAGAGTAAACACATACCCTGTCGTAGATCTTCTATTATCCAAGTCACCTGCATAATCTGAATCCACATATCCTACAACCAAAGGATTATCCCGCTGACTCCCAAAAACAATTCCATGTCCCACAGTACCCTTTAAGTACCGAAAGATCCACTTGACTGCATCCCAATGTTGCTTACCAGGTTTAGACATGTACTTACAAACTTGACTAACAGCATGAGCTAAATCAGGACGAGTACATACCATCGCATACATCAAGCAGCCAACAGCATTAGAATACGGAACCTTTGCCATATTTTCAGCTTCCTTATCTGTCTTAGGGCACTGTTCTGATGAGAGCTTAAAGTGATTCGCCAATGGAGTGCTAACTGGTTTCGCGCTGCTCATCGCAAACCTTTCTAGCATTTTCTCAACATAACCCCGTTGAGATAGCCGCAGTTTCCTTGAGTCTCTGTCCCTGCAAATTTCCATTCCAAGAATTTTCTTTGCAGCACCTAAATCTTTCATATCAAATTCCTGACTCAATAAAGTTTTCAAACCGATAACATCATCCATGTTCTTCGCAGCAATCAACATATCATCAACATACAGTAATAGAAAAATAAAAGAACCATCATCAAGGCTCTTAACATAGACACAACAATCATACTCACATCGGTTGTAGCCAATCTTGATCATATAGGAGTCAAACCGTTTATACCACTGTCTCGGAGACTGTTTTAACCCGTACAAAGATTTCTTCAATCTGCAAACTAAATGCTCGTTTCCAGGTTGAGTGAAACCTTCAGGTTGCCGCATGTAGATCTGCTCCTCTAAATCACCATGCAAAAAAGCAGTTTTAACATCCATCTGCTCTAAATGCAAATCCCAACTAGCCACCAATGCAAGTACTGCTCGGATTGAAGTGTGCCTGACCACAGGAGAAAAGATTTCATCATAATCAACTCCTTTCTGCTGTGAAAAACCCTTCGCTACCAAACGAGCCTTGAACTTCTCCCCCTCTTTTTCTGTTACTGCTGGTTTCTTCTTATACACCAATTTGCAACCAATCGGCTTCTTACCCTCAGGAAGGGGAACTAACTCCCATGTGCGATTGTGATTCAAAGACTCCATCTCCTCAACCATGGCTGCCATCCACTTGTCGTTTTCCTGACTAGTAACGGCATCATGAAAAGTAACTGGATCATCACTGCTAACAGTAAGTGCAAAAGATACCAAGTCTTCAAAACCCAATCTGTTCGGAGGCTTTATATTCGTCCGTCTCACCCTGTCTCTGGCGAGACTATAATCCTGCAAATCATCCGTAGTGGAACCACCAGAAGTCGGTTGAGAAGTTTCTGGTTTCTCAACTGGAAACTGCTCGAAATCTACCACTGTCGTGTCTTGCTTCTGCTGCAACATAGACTGTTCATAAAAACGACATCTCTACTAATCACAACTTTCTTCGCAACTGGATCCCAGAACTTGAATCCTTTGACACCTTTCTTGTAACCCAGAAAAATGCACTCCTTCGATTTTGCATCAAGTTTGGATCTCTCATCAGCAGGTACATGCACATAAGTAGGACAACCAAAAATCCGTAAGTTATCAAAACTAACATCATGACCAGTCCATACCTCTTCTGCAACTTTACCAGCCAGCGATGCCCTTGGCGATCTGTTGATAAGGTAACACGCCATGTTAACAGCCTCAGCCCAGAAGTGTTTGGGAAGCCCGCATTCAACCGCAAACATCTGGCTCTTTCATTCAACGACCTGTTCATTCGTTCCGCAACACCATTCTGTTGTGGTGTCTTGCGCACTGTAAAATGCCTCTGAATTCCATGCTCCTTACAGAATTGTAGGAACCGTGAATCTGTGTACTCCGTACCATTATCAGACCGCAAACACTTGATTTTTCGTCCTGTTTGGTTTTCTACCTCAGCTTTCCACAGCTTGAACTTCTCAAAAACTTCAGATTTCTGTTTCAAAAAATACACCCAAACTTTCCGTGAAAAATCATCAATAAAAGTAACATAGTACCTAGATCCACCCAAAGACGATGTCGTGGAAGGCCCCCATACATCAGAATGCACATAATCAAGAATCCCTTGAGTTGTGTGCTTCGCAGTCTTGAAACGGACTTTAGTCTGTTTACCAAGAACACAATACTTGCAAAAATCGAGCTTACAGCTTTTGACACCATGCAACAAGTTTCTCTTGTGTAATTCTGCCATACCACGTTCACTAAGATGAGCAAGGCGCATATGCCACAATTTTGTCGTATCATCACAGGACTCAACAGAGTGAACTCCACCTGCAACGGTACTCCCTAACAATCTGTAGATATTCCCTGCAGTCATCTTGCCTTTCATCACAGTCAATGCTCCTTTAACAATCCGAATGGTTTCCCTATCCTCGTCAGCCTTAGGGATAAAACCATTCTTGTGCAAAGTGCCCAAGGAAATCAAATTCTTCTTCAAGTCTGGGATATGTCGAACACCACTCAACGTCCGAACGGAGCCATCGTGCATCTTAATTCTGACATCACCAATACCAACAATATTGCAACATCGATCATCACCCAAATAACCGAACCAGAATTAACCGGCCTGTATGTCGAAAACCATTCCCTATTTGGCGTGATGTGATAAGAACATCCAGAATCAAGAATCCAAGCATCCGTCAATTGTGTCGTTGAAATAGAAAGCATATCACCCTCACTGCAATCAGAAGTATCATCCTCGACCACGTTCACAGACTTGGATGAGCCATCACGCTTCTCATCGGTCTGCTTTTTCAACTTCGGACAGTCTCGCTTCATATGTCCCGCCTCCTTGCACTTGTAACAGTGAATCGTCTTCTTATCCCTGGATTTGGATCTGGAATTCCGCTTCCCGGACCCTGCCTTCTCTGGCTTCCGTCCACGATCTCGATTACCCTTGACATATAAGCTATCGGCTTGAGAGCTTTCCCCTGCATTCTGTTTCCGCTGGTTGTGAGCCAACAAGGCTGCAGTAATCTCCTCAACGTTGATAGTCTCTTTCCCATATGTAAGAGTAGTCACCATGTGTTCGTAAGAGGAAGGCAACGAACACAACAGAATCATCGCTCTGTCTTCATCCTCAATTTTCACATCAAGCCGAGCCAGATCAGAAACGATTTGATTGAAGACATTCACGTGTTGCGCCAAATCGTGATCGTCCTGCATCTTCAGCCCATACAGCCGCTGCTTCAGATACAGTTTTGTCGTTAAGGATTTGGACATAAACTGACTTTCCAACTTCCTCCAAATTTCGTCTGGAGACGATAGATGCATGACGTGATACATGACCTCGTCCGCCAAGCATAATCGTATGGTTCCTGCCGCTCGCTGCTGCAATTCTTCCCAATCTTCCTCATCCATCGACGCCGGCTTTGTAGGTCGCAAAGCCTTCAAGATCCCTTGCTGCGCCAATAGATCCTTCACCCTCGTTTGCCATAATCCGAAGTTACCCTGACCATCGAATTTCGCGACTTCGAATTTTGCTCCTGACATCTGATACCAATTGTTGACGAAAACGGGTAAAGAAAACGAAAGAACACGAGAATTTTACGAGGTTCGGCAATGTGCTTACGTCCTCGGTGCCTAGGCGGCGCTAGAAGTTTTATTCAATGATATTTTAGGTCTAGGTTACATCTCTATTTATAATAGAAAACCCTGGTACATAATTACAAAATCAACCCTGTACCGTACCGCGGGGGCTGCGCCCCCACACCCTCAACCCACATAATTCGTAACCCCACAACGAGACTTTTTATGAGCCATACATAACACCATTGATTCATTGGCTTCCGCAAGTCTCTTCCATGACTCGCTTCCCATTTCCACTTCTCTTAAGCATGCTTCAAGCTCTATTCTTTTCTTTGTTGCTCGTGCCAAGTCTTCTTCTTTTCGCGTCAACAAATACAATGCCTTTGATTCCACAGTCTTTAACAAATTCCCTACTTGTTGATTCCTTTGCTCTTGTAATGCATATCTTAGTCTTTCATTCTGAGTTTTAGAACATGAAAAAAGAAGAGAATTTTCAGCTACGAAAAGAGATAAAACAGTTGACATAAATGATATAATGAATTTCTTACCCGTAACTGAAGAAAGCAATCAAGTTCCTGTCTCTGAATCTCCAGATGAATATCTAAAGGTTGAGAAACCGTCATGGAAGCCAAGCTCTGAGCGTTTTGTTGACAAGGAAATTCTTGGAGACTGAAACCAGGTTCAAATGATGGAAGAATGGGCAAAGGCAAACCCAAATTTTCATAACAAAACTGTGCTTCAGCAGCCATAATAACCATCACCAAGCATTCATCAGAACTAAGCAAAGCAAAGCAAGAAAAAAAGCTGAGACTTTCACTTATTTCTTAATCGGCGTAAACCATTGTTAGTCTGGGTTTTCTAGTTAAACTGAAAATCGGCAGACAATGGTGGAAGAAAGCCGTGGATGGGTTATAAATAGAGTGGGGGAAAACCGACAAGTATGGGTTATAAATCGTATGAGAGAGAGATACAAAGACGACGTATGCATTCAGATTTTGTGAAAGACACAAGTGTGGTTAAATTACATAACTGACATCGTTTGTTTTTGATTTTATTTTTCTAACACCGTTCGATTAATATTTTCAAAACTAGCACCCTTTCTGCTGAGTTGGCAAAGGCGCGTCCTCGGAGACGCGCTTTACCCGTGTTTTCGCTGAGTTGGATGCCACGTGTGAAAGGCGCGTCCCCGGGGACGCGCCTTTGCCATATCAGCAGACACGTGTGGAAGGCGCATCCCGGGGACGCGCCTTCCATTAAATGTCATAAATGCCCCCATCCGTTTTTCCTAACTACCCCTCCTCCTCCCCTATATAAACCCCCTCAACCCTCACTCATTCTTCACACCAAAATCATCTTCTCCTCTCTTATATAACTCAAATTCTCCAACTATTTGAGTTTTAAATTTGTTATTAGTGGTAAGAAATTTATTTTTATGTTAGTATTTTTTTAAATAGTTATTATTTTTTATATTAATATATTTATGTAAATATTATTTTTTATTAAAATAATATTTATATAATTATTATTTATTTAGAATTATTAATTTTTTTGCTAATTATATTGTTTTGTCTACAGTTATAATGGAAAACGAAATGCTGTTGCGATTGGATATTGATCATATCTCCAGACATTTTAGCGATATGGTAATATTTTTATAATTAATGTTAATATTTAAATTTATTTTTATTTTAAAGTTATTATGAATTTATATTAATTTTTACTTTTTATAATATATTATTTAGGATGCTGATCGTATTTTAGAAACTTTTATTAAAAATCCACGTATACCGACACCGGAACGTATTTTGCCATATTTGGCTTCTGCTGGGTTCGGGTATATTGCAACAATTATAGGCGGTTGCAAACTCGAACCTGTCCTAATTTCTGCACTGATTGAGAGGTGGAGGCCCGAGACACACACTTTTCACCTTCCATGTGGAGAGGCAACAATTACATTGGAGGATGTCTCTATGCATCTGGGGCTTCCCGTCGACGGAAATATGATGTGTGGTATGGCGGATGGTGATTGGCAATCAATGTGCATTGATTATCTTGGAGCTGCTCCGCCAGAGTTTAATGGAGGTAGAATAGCTTTATCTTGGTTAAAAGCTAATTTTGAGGTTTTAAATGAAAATGCTTCAGAGGATCAAGCAAAGGCATGTGCTCGGGCATATATTCTACGAATAATTGGAGGAATATTGATGCCCGACAAATCTCGCAACCAGGTGCATTGTATGTGGTTGCGGCATCTGATCGATTTTGATGAAGCTGGAAGATATAGTTGGGGTGCTGCAGTTTTGGCATTTCTCTTTAGAGAAATGTGTCGGGCGACGAATTATAAGAAAACTGCTATCGGTGGATGTCTTCTGCTTCTACAATCATGGGCGTGGTTCCGCATGCCTTTCTTATGCCCGATCGTGAATGAACCATACGTATTCCCCTTATTGTTGAGGTAATTTTCGAACTAAATTTTGATTTAAATATTTTCAATTAAATAGGGTGATATTTAGTTTATATTATATTTCATAGGTGGTCGATGAAAAGAAAGGACCATAAAAGTATACCTACTGGGTTAGAGGAAATTCGTTTACTTATTGATACGAAAGCTGGGTCTGAGGTATGTTTTTAAATTTGTTTAATTATTAATATTTTAATTTAAAATATTAGATATAATTAGAATATTTTATTTATTTGAATTGTATATTTATATTTCAGTTTCAGTGGATACCTTATGCGAGCGATGAAGTGAAAGCTTGCATCCCACCCCACCTTAGTGGGTCATTAGAGGTATGGATATCGGTTATACCTCTTATATGTTATGCTATTATTGAGTGGCATCCAGTTGATCGCGTGCTCCGTCAGTATGGTTGTACGCAATATATTCCTGGAGCTCCTAGAAATTTAGACGACGTGCATAACATAGATAGACGGGGAAAGAAAGATGTTAACTGGGTGGTGAGACACAGAGATTGGATTGCGCTTTGGGAGAACCGATATACACTGTTGGCCCATCAACAATATTACGCTGAAACTGGTCATATGGTTACGGATAACTATATGGACTGGTTTAATGAAAATGGGAAGCCGTTTCTACTTTCGGCGGAAGCACGAGGGGTTAACATTCCTAGGCGCCGAGAAAGACGTCACCCGTCTCAATATCATCGTCCCCCGACGCGTGGACGGAGAGAAGGCGCTACCGGTTCTGCATCAGTCCTACCACAACATCCTTATTCGTCGATGCCGCAGGGGTACATGCCCAGCCCTCCACTTCATATGCCAAGCCCACCAGTTTATATGCCATCTCCGCAGGGTTACATTCCGAGCCCGCAGGGTTACATTCCTAGCCCGCCAGGTTACATGCCTAGCCCGCCAGGTTACATGCCTAGCCCGCAGGGTTTTATACCATATGGAAGTGCATATACGACTATGTTTAATGATCCAGCATATGCTTCATATGCATCTTATTTGGCTGGTGGTGCTTCTCCGCAGACACCTCAATCTTCATCTGGATCACATACATCGATGCCAATGTTTCCACAGTTTTCACAGTTCCCGGGGAGCGGTGGGATTGTTACTAGCACTCCTCCAGGGTCGTTATTTTATACAGGCCCTTCAGCCCCTTCAGCGTCATCTACACCAAATGAAGAAAATGCTGCTGATGATGATAGTGAAGATGAGGAGACTGAAGAACAAGTTCCACGAAGAAATCCTCCACGAAATAGGCAACCACCGCCATGTGGAACTCATTCGAGAAGACGACATCGGTGATCCAGTTATATTTAATGTTATTTAAATAATTAAATTTTAGAATTTTATGTAATTTGGTTATGTTATTTAAATGTTTCATGGTTGTTACATACATATTTTTTAATGTTATTTTTTATTTACATTTAACATTAAATGTTTGATAAATGTTTTTAAAATACAAATTATATTATTCGAAATTTAAAATAAAAATAAAAATAATATTATTCAAATTTAAATTTAAAATATAAATTATAGTATTCGAAATTTAACATTAAATTTCAACTTAATATTCCAATTGTATTCGAAATTAAAAGTTATATTCCAATTATAGTTCACAATACTTAAATTGAAATTAAATTTATCCATACATATGATTTTATCATTAACATATATATTAAAACGTATACATTAAAATCAACTTATGTTGAGTTCATCGATCGACGTAATCAACCAAGAGGGGGGTGAATTGGCAATTTATTCAATGTCACATTTCAATGCTCATTCCATACAATTTCAATGTCACAATCAACTTATCACTTCACATTTATTCAATTTATCCATAACATTTTATCTAATTTATTCAAACTTCACATAACGTTTTAATTTAAGTTATTCTTAACTTGTTGAACTTTCAAAAGAAGTTAAATTTAAGTTATTCCCCGAGGGACATGAGTGACATAATAGGGCAATGATAATATTCTCTGACGAAATAATGGAAGGCGCGCCCCCGGGAACGCGCCTTCATGTGAATAGTGAAATAATAGGTACTGATATATCTAGTGTCCCCGAGGGACATGAGTGACATAATAGGACAATGATAATATTCTCTGACGAAATAATGGAAGGCGCGCCCCCGGGAACGCGCCTTCATGTGAATAGTGAAATAATAGGTACTGATATATCTAGTGTCCCCGAGGGACATGAGTGACATAATAGGGCAATGATAATATTCTCTGACGAAATAATGGAAGGCGCGCCCCCGGGAACGCGCCTTCACAATCTCTTATTGAAATGTATGCCACTTTTATTGAGGTTCGTGTAACTCGTGGTCTCTCATATTCCTCTCACTTTGGCATTGCATATCAAACTGATCAAGTTGATAGCCCGACACAACTTATCTGTAATGATTTCACATCATTAATGGCGGATCCAACGCCATATACCATGCCATCAAGTTCAATAGGAAGGCATTCATCTGCAACTGCTTATGATCTCAACCCACGTGGCTTCACCAATAATCCATATGGCAACATCTCTTCTACTTCAAGGGGCAGACATTCATCTGCCAATGTTTTCGACTTACATATGGAAATGCCAACGAGACGACAGTCTATTCACATCCCACATGATACAATGGCCTCAAGTTCAAGGGGAGGACACGCAAGCGGGAACTTATTTGACCTCAACATTGGATTATCGGAGGAACCCTCATCTCCACCAAAAGAACCTCTTCGGGAGCCAGGTGCAGATGGTGCTGAAACGGGATTATTCGTTGAACCTGACTCACCACAGTTTAACGTACATTCTGATGATGACGAGGATGACGTTCCGATAAATACAACACCAGCCGAACTTCCTGCACATATGTATGAGGCTGATTATGATGCAATGTATGAGCCTGAATTTACATATTGGCAATGGAGTTCGCATCGAAGGAGGAAGCAATGATGGCAATAAAGAGTTACAATATTCGTAACTCAGTTCAGTCCCGAGTTGATCGATCTAACACGGAGAAATATGTCTGCTACTGCGTCCAACGTCACAACGGATGTCAATGGATGGTCCGTGTATCAAAGAGGAAGAGGAAGAACAACTTATGGGAACTAACCAGATACAACGGTCCTCATACATGTTGTGCAACAGGTATAAACCAGGATCATCCCAACTTGGACTCCAACATTATTTGTCAAGCAATCATGCCCATTGTGAAGCAAAGCTCTCATATAGCTGTTGCAGTGTTGATTTCTGCTATACAGTCACAATATGGGTACACTGTCTCATATAAAAAAGCGTGGTTGGCAAAACAGAATGCCATTTGCAAACTTCATGGCGAATGGGATTCCTCTTACAACGAGTTGCCCAGTTGGTTTCATATTGTGCAAAGACTTAATCCCGGGACAATTGTTGAGTTCGAAACTCAACATCATTACGTGAATGATCGAATGGTTCGCGATCGCTGCCAATTTTACCAAGTCTTTTGGACTTACCCTCAGTGTATTAATGCAGTCAAGTACTGTAAACCAATTGTCCAAATTGATGGTACTTTCTTGTATGGGAAATACAAGCAAGTTTTATTATTGGCTGTGGTCCAAGATGGAAACCGCAATATTCTTCCTGTTGCGTTTGCCCTCGTTCAAGGAGAAGACACTGAGTCTTGGGCTTTTTTCCTTAAAAATTTACGTTTACATGTTGTTACCAGGGAACGACTATGCATTATTTCAGACCGAGGAGCCGGGATAAAAGCAGCAATGGACTCTTTGGGTACAATGTATAGACCTCCACATGTTCAACATCGTTATTGTGTCCGTCATATTGCTGCAAACTATTACGGAAAATACAAGAAGAACGATGAACGTCAGTTAGTCGTGCGGATGTGTATGTTACTTTTTTCCAATTTTTCTATCAATTTCTTATTACTTATTTATAGTTCATATTAACTATTACATATTCCTAATGGCTTAGGTTACGAACTCTTACCTCAAAGGTTTGAGTCGATGCTACAAGAGCTGTTTGGCAAAAATAAGAAGGGGTGCGAGTACATTATGGACATCAGCAAAGAAATGTGGACAAATGCATATGACGGGGGGTATCGCTATGGTCATATGACAACAAACTTGGCTGAAGCAATAAATTCAACCTTAAAGGGGGCGCGTCATTTACCAGTCACGGCGTTGGTCAAAACGACTTATTTTCGTTTGGGTCAACTCTTTGCAAAACTCGGTGGACAAGCTCTTACTTGGATGCAAAACGGACATATTTACCACCCAAGACTAGTAGCCGATTTACAGAAAAAAGTGGCTACATCAAATGGGATGTTAGTTACAAATTTTTCTTGCACCCGTGAATTGTTTCGTGTAACCGAAATGCCACGTCCGCTGCAAGGGATTGAAGCTAACTCTTTCAGAGTTAATCTGCAAGAGAGGTGGTGCGATTGTGGTTTCTTTCAAGCACTCAAATATCCATGCTCTCATGTCATTGCTGCTTGCTCACATTCGCATTTGGACTACAAAAATTATGTTGATCCCGTATACCAACTTTCACAAGTTTTCAAGGTATATGAATTTGAGTTTCCGCCCATAGGAAACGAAAGAGACCCAAATGAGATTCAAACTTGGCTTACAATTGTACCAGATCCATTGCTATTGAGGGACTCAGGTCGTCCAAAATCTACTAGAATACATTGTGATATGGATATTCGGGAGAAGTCAACAGAACAAAAACGATGTGGGCATTGTAGAAACATCGGGCATAATAGAAAAAAATGTTCAGCTCTGTTATCATCATATAACCGTTAACTCTTATGTAATTAAAGTTTTTAAATGAATGTTTTTATTTCTAATAATTTAATGTTATTGCATTTATATAATTTGTCAATGTATGTACACCTAAATAATTTTTTTTAACTTTTAAATTCATAAATATATTTAATATATGTATTTAATATAATATTTAATATTATTAGTTATAATTTTTTTTAAAATATAATAATAATTTCACCTTCTAAGTAGAGAAAAATATTAAATTAAACAAATTAAAAGTTATTAAAAAATTTATGTATACGATGACACATTTCATGTTCTGATTAGAGGATTAAATTTATTAAATTAAATTTTCAATAAGACTAATTTTATAAAATATGTAAGTCTTGAAGATTAAATATGTAATTATACTAATTTATTAACTTATGCATCAATATTTTCGTTAAATATTGATATGAGATGACTATATTGATTGATAACATTTAAATAATTAACTGATAAAATTAATAGATCGATAATCAAAATAAAAAATACTCGAAACTTGATAATTCTTACATTATAATCGAAACATTTTACATAATATATTATTAATTTATAATAATAATAAAAATAAACTATTTATTATATAATAAAATACGTGTCTGCTGAGTTGGCAAAGGCGCATCCCCGGGGACGCGCCTTTCACACGTGGCATCCAACTCAGCGAAAAACACGGGTAATGCGCGCCCCCGGGGACGCGCCTTTACCAACTCAGCAGAAAAGGTGCTAGTTCTGGAAATATTGATCAAACGGTGTCAAAAAAGTAAAATTATAATCAAACGGTGTCAGTGTAAAAAAACCCACCCCCCACCCCCAAGTGTAGGGTCTAAGACGAAGAGGAAAAGGGAAAGAGAATTCAGTGGATTGGGACGTGAAAGGGTCAGACGTTATAGAGAGGAAGAAATCAGAAGTTTGGTGTGCTTTGTCAGTTTTTAGTCATTGGAAAAGGCTGAATAATAGTTTCCATTGATTCCCGGCCATCTGTTATTATAAATCAACAATAAATTCAAAATATAAACAATAAATAATAACTTTTTTTTATTAATTATTCTTTGATTCTCCACTCACTCCCACCGATAAAAAGGGTAAATTATATTTTTTTACCATTTATTTTTCCGTATTTTTTTTTAAAAAGATAAATTTATAATTAAACATTTAAATTTTATTTGTTTTGTTGTTCAACAGTTAAATAGTTTAATGCCAATACTTCAAGCTTTAATTTTATGAATATTTCTAAAATTTTAACTTTTCTTCTTCTCATGGCTGGAATATCTTTTTATAATCTCTTATATTATTTATGATATGAAATCAATATGATTTTCTCTCCATCTATTTCTTTATTTCAGTTTATTTTTAAAATTAATAAAATTTTATTCATTATTTTATTTTTATTTGATTTTAATTTTTATCGTCTGATAAATATGAATTCAAAATGTATTATGTTTTTCTTCAATTTTATCTCTTCACGGCTTAGATTTCAAAAAAATCCAAAATATAATTTTCAGAATAAAGTTCCAAGGAGATTTACATAAAATTTGCTCAAAAATTTAAATGATTTTAAAATCTAATAGCAAAGTGATTAAAATGGTTGAAATTTAAAACACTTGTGATGAAATTGCCAAATTCTAAAGTTAAATAATCAAAATAAAACCAAAAACAAAGTTAAGGGCCAAAAAATATAATTCATCATAAAAATTAATAAATTTTTCTGTTTAAGTTTTTGTAAATAAACAATACGACATTTTATTCTCCGATTATAGGTTGGATTCGATTAAATTTTAAATATAACGACATCTCTCTTTATATATATGTATATAATATGGGAATTCTACTAAATAAATCCATAGCCGTAATGGATAAAACGACAATTATTATATGCAGAGGGATCTGCAAATTGCGAATCGTGTTTGAGCTAAGGTGGCTATGAAGAGGCTTATGATAATAAATTTCAGCTTTTTGTGTTGCCGTGTTTAAGCCATTAGATTAATGGGCTAGTGTGGTGGAGACTGCTTGTCTGGGCCAGAAACGTCACCTCATTACCCAGCTGCCAGTCTGCTACTAGAATCACCTTCTTGTTGCTTTGGAATTAAACAAAATTTCTCTCACATTTGAGTTCCTTTTTCCCACTGGTTAAATACAGGAGAAAATAAAACTTGGAAATTAGATAATTGGCTTCAGCAACTTTCTCGGCCAGCGTTCAGATTGTTAAACACTCTTTTTTTTTGGGGGGGGGGGCGGTGCTGCAGGCAAGCCGTATTTTCAGGTCCCATTCAAATAATGGAACCCACAATCTGCCTGCCCATTCTTCAGACCACATTAATCCTTATTTGATGTGACCGTGATCTGTTGAGTTCATCGAATATTACTCACGAACAAACCCTTTAACCGAAACATGTTTTACTCTTTCGTGTAATTACAGTACCCAAAAGGCGAATGTACGGTGGCGCCGCCAGCGGCGGTTATGGCTCTACCGAGGGTCACGGGCTATTTGACCTTACTCTGAGTCTGTATTCCATTTTCCCGAACTTGCAGGATTTTCCAGCTGTCGTGGGGCATTCAAATTTAAGCTTCGCCTACGTGGCATTTTCTACCGCGCGAGTCGAATCGAAGTTCCCCACAAAAGATAACGAGATAAAAAAATTATCTGCAAAAGTTTAAAATTCAAATTGTAACACGGAATACAAGTTGTATACGCAACTTGACAGTAAAGTTAAAAAGATAAGAGCACTTTTAATAATCGGAAATGAGTGAAGGGTATTTTCGGTAAACAAAATGAAACTTCTAAGAGCCGACTTTGTAAAGTCGGTCGAGCCCTAGCTTTCTCACGCTATATAATGCCAAGCTCGCCTCGTCAGATTAAGAGGTCTGAAAATAAAACCTAGTTGCAGCCGCATAGATTACGCGTATTCTTTAAGCGAAAATTCTTAGAAGAGCTTTGAGATCTATAAGTTTTCTGGGTACGGAAACAATCTTCCCTCACTGATTCATAGTTTCTGCGAGGAAGATCTCGGTATTTTCGAAAAGAAAATCCGATTATGCCTCGTTGTGTTCCTTACCGGCCTCCTGGACATTTAAAGCAGGGATTGGTCGAATCGATTAAGGTTCGTAGAGCAAAAGTATTTGTGACTTTCACTTTTGTTGCTCAACTGCATGCTTTTGTGATGCTTGATTATGATTTGTATTGTGTATTTGTAAGATTTGTAAACTAATGATTGTATGTAAACTAAATTGCTTTGCTGGCTATTCTTATTTATTATGAATAAAAAAGATCTTTTCATAGAACTATGGCAGGTTAACTAAAACGATTTGGGGTTAGGATTTTTTTAAATCGCAAATATATGTACTACAACTGTTGTTTAAACGTACTAATGGAATTCTTTGGGTTAAGGGTTTTTGAATAACATATGTCTAAAAAATTATTGTAGTTAATAGAACACTTCGGATTTAGGGTTTATTGTTAGAACTTTTATTCCTTTTCTCGAGAATTGGTCTTGTTACTTATTTGATTTATGTAAGGCTGAAAATCTGGGTAACTGTTATTGACTGATTGGTCTTTCGTATATCCCTGCCACAATTTGTAATGAGCCCCCAAACGTCTGTTTTTTGGTAAAAAGCGTTGGTTCTCTGGTCTTCCATTTCGTACCCATCTAAATTTCTTATTGTGTTGTACAATAAAGCTTGAGAGAGAAAGGGTTCTACCAAAATCAGAGCACAAGTTACATAAGAAGAGGGAAGGGGAGAAAAACCAGAATAAGAAGGGAAAGGATAAAACTCAATGTCTCTCCAAGAAATTTGAGAAGCTTGTTGATGTTCAGTTTGGATATAAAGATGAAGTTCAATTGGAGAAAAGTGACATTACCGAAGAACATGGGCCGCCAGCTGGCTATATATCTGATGGTAGCCAAAACAGTCATAAGAGGAAAAGGGAAACAGATTTCCACAGCGAATGCCGGGTTGATGGTGAGTTTTGTTTACCGTTGTATTGGTTCTCTTAGTTTCTTAGAGGAATCCAAATATAGTCGTATTGGGATATTGATTTGTGTATTGCTCGATGTACAGGGAAGAAAATAAAGATTCGATTTACCTTGAAAAAGTCTAATGGATCTGATTCATCTATCAGTAAAGAATCAGCTTGCTCTAGTGGTGGAAGGACGAATTCTAATCAAGATTCATGTTATGTTGCTTCTGTGCCTCAACGGGAACTGCATCATGATGTTGGATGGAAGGAGCATTCTCCCTCTTCAAAACCAAGTTATTATGTTGTTCCTGTGCCTCAACAGAAACTGTGGCATGATGTTGAATGGAAGGAAAAAGGTCCCTCTTCTTCTAGAACATCATCCAAAGACAAAAAGATTAAGGCTGCATTGCAGTATGAAGCTCCGATTGATGATTGGTTTCCACCTCTTCTACAACCTGAGCTAAACTATTGTGATAATGTTGATGACTGGCTTCTTCCTAAAAAGCTGCTTGGTGAATCAGCGGCCAAAAGATCAGATGATAATGATGTTATGTGTCATCCTAGTTTAACTTCATGGCCTCGGGCACAGTATCTCCCGGATGCTGAGATGTATGCATTGCCGTACACGGTGCCATTTTGATTTACATACTGGAGGGTCAAGTTATTTTTTTGGATCCCTTACAGAAGAGCAGCCTAATTCTTTTATCCAGTATTTGAAATTGTAGTCTTATGCTCATCTTCATTTTGCCAGATTGAGTTACAATGCCGGAGTTGTACATTTCTAGTTTTGTCGGCCAACTTTAACATGTACAGTGTTGAGAATTTTTCTAATAGAAACGAGAATTATTCTACATTTCCTTTTTGACATTTACTGTATGTATATCAATAAATTAGCCAAATTGTGAAGTGACTTTGGCATGATCTGCGTTCTTTTTTAAGGTATTCGAGCATTAAATGACGTTTTTCAAGTTTTCCATTTTGTTGTGGTATGTTATCTGCATTCTGTTGTTGAACCATTATCACTAGATGGATCAGAATCTTACCAACCACTGGCTTGCGACTGGGAAGAAGCCCTTTGTACATGATTGTCGTCTTCCTTTGATTCAATTGCAGTGTTCATCACCCTCTCGACCAACAATGGCATTTTTTTACTGGTACAAGGAATGAATTGATTCACATGATGGCACTAATTTAAACTGCTCTGTAAAGGACTAAATTGATTAATTTAACTGTATATGGACTAAATTAATACAGTCACTATATCTGGCATGTACTTTCACCAATAAAAATATGGGGATTAAATCCTCTTAAAACAAGTAGTACAAGCACGGTTGGCTGAATTTAACCGTTATAATTTCACATTCAATTATCCAAGTCCGACTGAATATAAATTGCATACTAGAAAAATAAATAAAATAAAATTTGAGAAACAGTAGAAAGCGAGAGAGAGAAGGATGTTAAACGGAACAGTGGACGAAGAGAAATGGCCAGCGGAAGGGATTGCCGGTATTCAACACAACGCTTTTTTTATGCTACGAGCTTTGATATCTTCGAAATCTTCCCATCTTTCCTTGAATTTGAGCTGATCGACATCGCCAATGCCAATCCTATTTCATTACTGCTAATTTTTCATATTTCTTATTCTAATAATGTTAGGGAAGCTCACGAGTACTCGGCTCAGTTGCTATTGGAGCAATGGACCTCCAAATTCCCTCTTCACACTTACTATGGGATTTGTAATTATAATTTGTTCATTTTTCCTTTTGATTCTTTGCCTGAGTCGATTTAGCTACAATTTTTCCTTTTGATTCTTTGTTCATTTATGGGCATCTATTCTCATTCTATTTAGCTACAGTTCTTTTCCCTCCATAATTTTAGGACCTTCCATAAAACGGGACTCTAGTTTTGATTAAGGAAAACGATGGAAAAACTGCAGATGTGCTGGAAGTTTCTGCTTCAGTACTAGATAAGCCCCAAGTACTTGAATTGTACCGTGAATGTGAATATTCTCAAATATTAGACCTTCATTGTCATTGTATATGAAGTTTTAGTTGGCAGTCTACCAGGTATCTTCTGTGTACGGCAGGACCTATCTATATCAAATCTAAGGAGGCTCCTGCTAAGGAAGTTCTTAAAGACCTCGTGGAAATGTGTCGTGGAGTTCAACATCCGTAGTTGGGACTCTTTCTAAGGAGTTACCTTGCTCTAATAAGTCGAGATAAGTTACCAGATATTGGTTCCAAGTATGAGGGGTGAGAACCCTTGCTTAATTTTTCTTTTCCTTCCTCTTTAAATAGAAGTTTTCATTTCAAAAGCTGCCTGATTCAATTTTCAATGGCTATTTTATTTAAAGTATATTGGTAAATTTTTTAGTTTTCGGTCTTCAAATATTTGAAGAAAAAAAAAGGTTACTAAGCAGTAGCTTTTACAATGTTCTTGTATCCAAAACTTACGAGTCCTATTTTTATCTACTTTTCTTAGAAGAGAGTGCATGCAGATTAATGATTTTTTAATTGGCATGTCTAAATTAGAAAATGCAAATTTAGACGTGCAAAAGAATTTGCAAACATTTGTAATTAACTAATTGCTAGGACATATGTACCAAAAAAAAAACTAATTGCTAGGACATGGTTGTCTTCATGCAGTGATACTGATACTGTGATGGATGCTGTGGAATTTGTGCTGCAGAATTTCACTGAGATGAATAAACTTTGGGTGGAAATGCAGCGTTAGGTTTGTTAAATATTTGATCTCTTATTTTCTTAAGGTGCGCAATGCACGACAGTACTTGCACGCCATACAAGTGAGAATAAATCATGAGAGCAAAACTTTTGGCCAAGCAGGTGTCATGGTGTTTGTGGATCATTCACACTCTTTGGTCATCTTGAGTTGAAGCCTTCAATCGCGATTTCTGGTCTAAGAGAGCAGCAAAACGAAAGAAGTGAACTTCAAGATCTTGTAATATCGATACTCTAAAATTTCTGGTTGGCTAAACTCTGATACTGTTTGTTTTGTGCCCATTGAGGGAAAGTAATCCTTCTGTTGTGAAATTTCTTGTTAGGTTGGGAAGAAACAGTTCTTCCCAGAGTCTTAGAGCAGGTAATTTTACTTCTTTCTCAACTGTCCCCCGATCCCCCCCCCCCCCCAAATGTAACAAGTCAAAGGTCTGTGGCATTAAAAGATTTTATACTGTTTTTTTACATGTCAATTGTAAAGATGATCTTGCCCAATATTATCTGATGGATTGCATAATTCAGGGCTATTTAACCAAACTGACATCCTTTAATCGAATATTTCCCTTTTTAGTACCGTTTGTTCTATATTTCCCGAAGTGACACCCTTTCAGTTGAGGTGGCGAAAGGCGCATCCCCGGGGACGCGTTTTACCTAGTTTTACGCTGAGTTTGATGCCACGTGTAAAAGGCGCATCCCCGGGGATGCGCTTTACCTTTATTTTGCTGATTTAGTTTCCATGCGGTATTTTTTTTAATAATAAAAATTTTATTTTTATTGTTATTATAAATTAGTAATATATTATGTAAATTGTTTCAGTTATAATTTAATAATTATCGAATGTATTTTTTTAATGTGTGTTAAAGGTGGAGTGTATTATCCACATTAATCGGATAGAACAACAGATGAAAACTAGTTTTTTATTTTATTGTAGTTATATGAAAAATGTATAAAATTATTATATTACACGTATGGTTATATTATTATTTTTTTATTTTGATTATCGATCTATTAATTTTATCACTTAATTATTTAAATATTATCAATCTAGTCATCTCTTATTATTATTTAACCAAAATATTGATGCATAAGTTAATAAAATTAGTATAATTACACATTTAATCTGTTATTATTATTATACATTGAGAAATTATAGAAAATGCAATTACATTTAAATATTAGAAACAAAAACATTCATTTAAATAGAATATTAGGTTACATAAGGGTTAACGATTATGTGATGATAATAGAGTTGGACATTTTTTTCTATTGTGTCCGATGTTTCTACAATGCCCACATCGTTTTTGTTCTGTTGACTTCTCCCGAATATCCATATCACAATGTATTCTAGTAGATTTTGGACGACCTGAGTCCCTCAATAGCAATGGATCTGGTACAATTGTAAGCCAAGTTTGAATCTCATCTGGGTCTCTTTCGTTTCCTATAGGCGGAAACTCAAATTCATAAACCTTAATACTTGTGAAAGTTGGTATACGGGATCAACATAATTTTTGTAGTCCAAATGCGAATGTGAGCAAGCTGCAATGACATGAGAGCACGTATATTTGAGTGCTTGAAAGACACCACAATCACACCACCTCTCATGCAGATTAACTCTGAAAGAGTTAGCTTCAATCCCTTGCAACGGACGTGGCATTTCGGTTACACGAAACAATTCACGGGTGCGAGAAAAATTTGTAACCAACATCCCATTTGATACAACCACTTTTTTCTGTAAATCAGCTACTAGTCTTGGGTGGTAAATATGACCGTTTTGCATTCAAGTAAGAGCTTGTCCACTGAGCTTTGCAAAGAGTTGACCCAAACGAAAATAAGTCGTTTTGACCAATGCCGTGACTGGTAAATGACGCGCCCCCTTTAAGGTTGAATTTATTGCTTCAGCCAAGTTTGTTGTCATATGACCATAGCGATACCCCCCGTCATACCCATTTGTCCACATTTCTTTGCTGATGTCCATAATGTACTCACACCCTTCTTATTTTTGCCAAACAACTCTTGTAGCATCGACTCATACCTTTGAGGTAAGAGCTCGTAACCTAAGCCATTAAGAATATGTAATAGTTAATATGAAGTATAAATAAGTAATACGAAAATGATAGAAAAATTGGGGAAAAGTAACATACCCATCCGCACGACTAATTGACGTTCATCGTTCTTCTTGTATTTTCCGTAATAGTTTGTAGTAATATGACGGACATAATAACGATGTTGAACATGTGGAGGTCTTTACATTGTACCCAAAGAGTCCATTGCTGCTTTTATCCCGGCTCCTCGGTCTGAAATAATGTATACTCATTCCCTGGTGACAACATGTAAACGTAAATTTTTAAGGAAAAAAGCCCAAGACTCAGTGTCTTCTCCTTGAACGAGGGAAAACGCAGCGGGAAGAATATTGCGGTTTCCATCTTGGACCACAACCAATAATAAAACTTGCTTGTATTTTCCATACAAGAAAGTACCATCAATTTGGACAACTGGTTTACAGTACTTGATTGTATTAATACACTGAGGGTAAGTCCAAAAGACACGGTAAAATTGGCAGCGATCTCGAACCACTCGATCATTCACGTAATGATGTTGAGTTTCGACCTCAACAATTGTCCCGGGATTGAGTCTTTGCACAACATGAAACCAACTGGGCAGCTCGTTGTAAGATGAATCACATTCTCCATGAAGTTTGCAAATGGCATTCTGTTTTGCCAACCAAGCTTTTTTATATGAGACGGTGTACCCATATTGTGACTGTATAGCAGAAATCAACACTGCAACAGCTATATGAGAGTTTTGCTTCATAATGGGCATGATTGCTTGGCAAATAATGTTGGAGTCCAAGTTGGGATGATCCTAGTTTATACCTCTTGCACAACACGTATGAGGACCGTTGTATCTGGTTAGTTCCCATAAGTTGTTCTTCCTCTTCCTCTTTGATACACGGACCATCCATTGACATCCGTTGTCACGTTAGACGCAATAGCAGACATATTTCTCTCTGTTAGATCGATCAACTCGGGACTGAACTGAGTTACGAATATTGTAACTCTTTATTGCCATCATTGCTTCCTCCTTCGATGCGAACTTCATTCCAATATGTAAATCACCG